AAACACTTCTCTGCATTTCGGAGTCGACCCATTTTCTGGTAAACATCCCCCAGTGCTACTAGCATCCTTGAGTCATTTGGTCTGAAAGAAGCTTTGATAGATTAAGCGGGCGTAAAAAAACTTCAAAATTAGTTTTTCACGCGAAGATAAGAGTATTCAAATGTTCTTGGATCACAAAAAAAGCATAGAATATAGGATAACGAAAACCTACTTGCACAGATGTGCTTGTTGATAGTAATAGAGAGAGTATGTCGGCATTTTTATGATGTCGTACATTTGACCGAGCCCATACCACCCTCGATAATCTTTTGGATCCACTTCTAAAAAACTTATACTAAAACTTTTTCTGAAAGTAATCTACCAAAAAAATGCATTCATTCATTGTAAAAGCTAAACGGCACAGAAAAGCTTACCGATAGCCTTTCTGTATGACATGCAAGCTGCTGCATTATTTTTCAGCTCCATAAACTCATGACCAATAAGCACCCATATCGAGGCTACACTTGGATTTAATCTCAACGCTCTTTGGAAGAAGCGAATGGCTTGCTCGTTTTCGCGTCTGAGTCCATAATAATTACCTATGAAGAACAGATGCAGAGGACCAAGCTGACAAATGTAGAAAAACCTCACCTACTATACAACACGTTTCGAAAGAGAATTTATGCGTCTCAAAGAAAGAATGAGCGAGATCACATAGCTGTACACGATCGCCCTAAAGTAACGAAAGCATGAGTTGAGATCAGATCAAGGATGATAACATCAATTGTACCCGAATGTAGAGTGAATCCGAGTAGAGATTCATCTTGTCTATTCGAAGCGGATCCATAGCTCGCAATGTTTTGAACACTTCTACGGTCTTTTCATGATCTAAGTAAAGTTATCACACGAAAGACAGGACCAGACAAGCAAAAATACAATTAGTTACCATGTAGGTGATTTGAGCATGCGGCGATTTGAGTGAGGATCATTGGAATCCCAGGAAGACCGCGGGATGTAAGAAACTCTGCTTTTTTGAGTGCTTCGCTGAAAACTGCATCTCAGTACAGGCCGAACTTCGCTCAAGAGGGTCGAGCGCCCATAAACGCTCAAATTTCTTTACTCCCTTTTCATATGTCCTCTCCTCACACACGTTCCGCAAGGATGCTGGCGCTTTTAGGTTAGCGCGGAACGCGTGTGAGAAGAGATAAGAGAAATGTGTAGAGAGAACAAACAGATTTGGTGCTTTTGGGCGCACCAAAAGCACCTAAATCATTTGAGCGAAGCTGGGCAGTGCCTCATCGAATGCTTTACATAGTTGAAATATGGTGAGATAAAACCTTAATTGTAAATTTGGATGAATGTATTGAGGAAAACGTAATATACTCGTCTATGTGAAAACGGGATAGGGCCAAACTCTCAAACCAATCTGGCATCCATGACGATTCCACTGGTTGACTACATAAAGACTTACAAGCAGCAATCTAAAAAAGAGAATATCCACAAGATCCTGAAAGGGAGTTCAAACATCCAAACTCTTACTTC